TCTCTCTCTCTCTCTCTCTCTCTCTCTCTCTCTCTCTCTCTCTCTCCTCTCTCCCGTTTCTTTTTCTCCTTCCCTCCCTCTCCGCTCATTTTCTCTCTCTCTCCCTCCTCCCCTTCTCTTCTCTTTCCCTCCCTCCTTCTCCCCCCTTCTCTCTCATTTCTTCTCTCTCTTTCTCCCTTTTCCTTACCGTTCTTTCTCTTTCTTTTCTCTTCTATCTCTTTTCTCTCTCTGTCCCCCTCCGTCTCTCTTCTCAATTCTATCTCTACTCTTTTGGTTTCTCTCTCCCTCTCACTGTCCCTTTCTCTCTTCCCTTACCTCCTTCTCTCTCCTCTCTCTCCCTCCCTCCCTCTATTCTCTTTCCTCTCTCATTTTCTCTTTCTCCTTCCCTCCTCTCTTCTCTCTCTCCCTCCTCTCTCCTTGCTTCTCTCTCTCTCTTTATGCTTCTGACTCTGTCTCTCAGTATCTCTTTTTTTCCTCTTTCCCCCTCTTTCTGTCTCTTTCTCTCAGTTTTTCTGTCTTTTTGCTTCTCCCTGTGTCTCTGTCTCTCGGTATCTCTGTCTCTCAGTCTCTCTCTCTCTCTCATACACACACACACACACACACACACACACACACACACAGATACACACACACAAAATGAGACTAATGTACCAGGTTGTTATTGCTCTCTAACAACTTACCCAGACTTAGACATTTAAATAAGCTCTGTGCCCTTCAAAGGGGTCATCTTGGGAGTCTGTGCCTTTATTCCAGAGACATTCAAAAGACATGGGGAACTCTCCTTCTGAGCCTGAAGCACATTCTCTGAAATCTCCTCAATGGAAGTGCATTTAATTTTTTAAAACAGCCAAACGCCATTCAGAGGCAAGTTTTTTGAATAATGGGATGATAATGTTTGGAGTAAAAAATCTAGGTAAGAATAGAAGATAAACAGAGCTAGCTTTTTCATGCAGGCTGTCCATTGGCTCAGAAGGTGAAACCAAAAAAAGTGTTCTGAAAATGTTTTGAGAGATAGCAGCATCATTGGAATTAGCTGAAAATCACTGAAGCATAGGCCACGAGATCTGGAAAGGTCATGGATGCAGGTCACTGAATCTAGCACCTTCATATTAAAGTTGAGGAAATTGAGGTCTAGGATGGGCAGAGAGGGAATAAGCATTTATTAAATGCCTACTATGTTCTGGGCATTGTGCTAAGCACTTTACAATATTACCTCATTTGATCCTCACAACAACCCTGAGAGGTAGGCACTATGAATAATATCCCCATCTTACTGATGAGGAACTGAAGCACACAGAGGTTAAGTGACGTGCTTAGGGTTACACAGCTAGCAAGTATCTGAAGATGGATGCCAGAGAGAGGAAATAAATTGCCTGGAATCATGCACTGAAGGGAAGGGTCAGGAATATAACTCTTGTTTCCAGATCCTTATTCCAGTGGTTCTTTCACTACAATGTCCAGGAAATTCTGCAATTTCTGGACCCAGCTGGCAAGACCTAATGATGTACAACATGTAACTGAGTCAGGTCTATCCTGTAGCATCATAGAGTTAGAGGTGGAAGAAATTATGGAGGGAAATTAAGTCCCTTTATTTTACAGCTGAGAAACAGAGGCCCATGAAAGATTATGCTGTATGCCTAAGTCACACGGGTGGTAAATAGCAGAGTTGGGGTTTGAACTTAGACAGACAGACAGACAGACAGATAGATTTTCTGAACTTAAAATTTCATCATTAGAGGGGTCCAGTATACTATGTAGAATATGTGTACATATACATGCATATGTTAAACACACATATATTCATATCAACCTATACTTATGACCTTCCTTCTTCAAGAGTTCTGGCACTTACCCAGTCCCAATGATCAGTTTGTTATACTGTGGCATGCTTATAAAATCCGTCACCCACTTAGATTTTCGTTTAATGGCTTTGTCCTAAAACATCAAAGAGCTTAATTATACCCCAATATATTTATTTTAAAGGACAGAATAGTTTCAGACTTCACTGCAAACATTTTTATTTCTAAAACATATCCAACATCCCAGGCTACTCATTTAATTGGTCTCCTTCAAGATAAAGAGGGTGATTAAATACTCTTATGGTCATAGGCAATACTCAGATGGATCTGTGATCTCATCAGAGTGGACATCCTGATCCAGGTTGTACCTCCTCCACACCTGCCCATCTCATGCAACTCTCATCTATGTCCTCCCAAAATCTCTTCACAGAGGTCTACCCAATGTGACAAGGACCTGCCTCAATTTCTCCTGACATTTCAGGGATACTTATTAGGGAACTGGTTGTCCAACAATTAGTTACTTCTCAACACTGAACCAATCCATCTTTTTCAGTTGTATACCTCCCATATGAAGCTCTTTCCTCTAGTTTTTCTTTGAAGACATAAAGATGTTGTAGGGAAGCAATCACATGGGGAGTAGGGTAGGAGAAGTTCATGCATGAGGTATAGTTTCAGGAGGTCTGGTCCTACAAACAGCCTTAGAACCTGTGAGAATAGCTGCCCTTCCGGGGATCCAACTTGTAAACCTATGAACCCTGAGTTGGGGAAGAAGCCCAGGGCATGTTTTATACCTATTCATTGTGTATTGCCTCCTGTTCATACCCTCTTTACACTTTTCCATCTCCCTCTGGATGATGCTCATTTTGGTGACTCTAGTGTTCCATTATTCAAAACTATAGAATAGTACCAGTAGTATGTTGGTATTAAAAGATGGATTTTTCTTTCTGGATGAAGTTTAGGCTTATTAAGAGAGCTTCGCAATTTCCCAAAGGTAATTCTGCCCATTCTAATCTTGCTGTTTAATTCTGGGCCCAACTCATCGTCCACTTATGCCATCTGTCCAAGACAGAGATATGTACACGCATTATATATGAACATAATACCTATATGGATGTGTGTTTATATATTTATGTGTGTGTATATATGTATGTATGTATGTGTGTGTGTGTGTGTGTGTATACTGAGAGAGAGAGAGAGAGAGTTGTATTACTTCATATGTAATAAACCCTTAGATACTTGGAGCAGACTGACCTGACATAGATTTTCTCTCTCTAATAAGGACAAAACAAGAAGATAGGGACTTGAGCTGTGGCAGGAAGAATTCAATATTATATTTGAAGAAGAACTTGCTGAGTGTGAGCACCACCACCTTAGCGGGCTAGGTTGCTCAGGGACATTGGGGAGAAGTAGCTTCTATGGAGGACTTTAGAGAGAGGATAGATTCTAAGGTAGTTTTAAGTACAATCATGTTTGAAGGCTGGAGAAGAGTCCAAATGAACTTCTAAGATCTTTTCATCTTCAATCTTTATGATTCAATGATAAATTCCCTGAAAAGAAACTCTGGCAAATAGCTAGCTATGCTTGAAATGACCATTAAGAAGAGAAAAAATTGAGGATTCTTTCCATTTGTCTATTCTTAAGACATATGATAAATTATACACGGTCCCATCATGTGTAATGTATCACTCAATCTGATTTTATAAGTGAAATGAAGCATTATCTTGTGCTATGCACTGAGCTCATCCTTTAGTTGGCATTCTCTAGACTGGCATATTCCTATAGGAATATATTATATTCAAGGACACTATTCATGTAATCATGCTACTTAAAAAGCAGTTTAAAATTGCAAATAAAATCAAACTGTCGTACTCAGCATCCTTATCAAAGGAAAATCACATACGAAAACCAGCTTTCTTCTTTTCAATGTCAGCTGTGGCGACCAGAAAGAAATGACTCCATCTTCTCCCATCATGATTAAGGTATCATCAGGCAGAGAGAAAATTCGAAGGACAGGCCCACTGTGGGATAGCCCCTGGGACAATGCAGGCATGGCGAAGTAAACCTCTTTCTGCCGGGCCAACGAGTCAGCCTTTTCTGAATACTCTAGCTGTAGGTAGGTACAGAAGTCATCCTAAAACAAAGAAAAGAATTATATATCAGTGATCTTTCTGGCTCCCACACATTCTTTCCATCACTGAGTCTTAGAAGACATTGCCTTAAGGCCTTTGCTCGCAATTATATTATTATCATTAACTCATTAGCATTGCTGCCAATATTATTGGGTTAAAAGATGAGGTGTCTCTTTAAAACTGGCCTCTAGCTACTTTCAACTCGTCTTTCTCTCCATCCCCCCCTCATATCTCTCTATTTTCTTTAAAGGAAACTCAGACTCTTAAGAAGATATTAAGATATTGGAGAAACGTGACCCAGATCCACTTACCTACATATACTCTCACATTCTGGCTCTAGAATTACCTGAGCATCAAATACTCACCCATCTTTTTCCATGAGGAAACTACTCCCAGAACTATGCCATTTAGATGTGATAGACTATAAGCTGCTTGAAGGCAGGATCTGTTTTACTTTTGTCTTTGTATCCTCAATGCCTAGAACACTAATAGATACCTAGTTATCACTATCCTAAGGATGAGAATTTGGGGGCGGGCATCGGCACGAGGGCCCAGCGTGCCCTCAACCACACTAGCTGGGGGTGTGGACCTCCATGGGCTGCCTCTGCTCTCTTTCTCCAGGTTCCTCTAAATCAAGTTTCATGTTATGGATAAACCAACACTTGGGGCATCTGCACCTTGAAAGTCACCCATGGATGGTATGTCCCAAATTGCCTATGGTAGTGTACTTCCAATTATATTCATTGTTTTACACACTTGATGTCAACAAAATCATAACACTCTAAGCATTCTCTCTCATCCTCATTTCCATTCTATTTCTCTACTCCTGCTTTTTTTTTTTAACAACCTCAATGACCATTCTATGTTGTTGTTGTTTTTCTGTTGTGATCACTTTGTGATACCATTTGGGGTTTTCTTGGCAAAGATACTGGGGTGGTTTGCCATTTCCTTCTCCAGTTTATTTGACAAGGAAACCAAGGCAAACAGGATTAAGTGACTTGCCCAGGATCATACAGCTAGTAAGTGTCTGATGCTGGATTTGAACTCATGAAGATGAATCTTCCTAACTCCAGGTCTGCACTCTATCTAACTCTACCATGTGCCATCACAAACATACCCAGTACCTCGTTTCCTAACATGCTTATTCCATTGTTTACCAGTCAGGAGAATGGACTGGTCACCCCTTTGTAACCTCAGCTTCTAGTGGCTACTTCTTCAAAGTTTATCAGAAAGGAGGAAAATGTATCATGGCAGGAAAAATTGAAAGAGATACACAGAAAAATGACTGTTCTCTGAAGAATCATGGTACAGTGTTAAGAGCACTGGAATTGAAGTTAGAGGGCCTGGATTCAAATCCCACTTCTGATCCTAGGGCAAGTGACTTAATCTTCCTGGGCCTCAGTTTCCTTTAAGTACTTTTTATTAAGTTAATAAATATTTTTTAGTTGAATTAAATCCCAAGTTAGTAATATAAAAGACATGTATCTGTGGCAGCTGGTATTGCTCTTAAAAGGTATCAAATCGGCCTACCATCACATTCGATGTTATTTACATTCAAGATCGCCAGTGGGTGTGGAGACCCCTTTCATAGACTGTCCTTCACTTGAAGTCTTGTCCCAAGATATAGATGTCCTAGTTTTACCGTTATAAATGCAATGAAAATCAGAAGCCTGTGTAGACACCATCAGTTTGCTAAAATGGTGTCATTCACGTGGAAGACATTGGGGACTTGTAGCAAAAGCCCCGAGCAGGCTCTGAGTCAAGCTCTTTTAAAGATGATAGGTCTGGCCATTCAGTCAACAGAAAAAGGCAGCTCCCAACCGTGTGGTAGGCCAATAGATTGTGACCATGAATGCTCCGGTCTCCTAGAAACAGGTTCCACGTGAATGATGCTATTTTAGCAAACTGATGGTGTTCTGCAAGTGTGTTTTGCACCCCCACATTATATTTATAACACCTACAAAGTTTTTAAACTATGAGGCTCACAGATTTAGACCTAAAAGGGACATTAGAGGTCATATAACACAACTCTTTCATTTTGCAGATGAGGATAACTGAGGCGTAGTTATCACAGGTAGAGCAATTTGCCCAGAATCACTCAGGCAGTAAGAGAGCCAGGATTTGTTTCCAGGTCAACTCCAAGTTGGCATGGGTAGGCAAGAGAGAGTCACTGTTAATCCTTCACAAATCAGTATGTTCCATAAAGGATGAAGAGAAGCAAAGCTAAAATTCCCATTTGGAGCTCTACACAACTTGAAACTTATCTCACAAAGCACAAACTAACTTACCCATTGAATTCCACCAGTTGCCGCCCAGTCTATTTTCATGAAAAGTTGTTCTATTTGCTCATTACTCTAGAGGGGGAAAAATCATAATCGGTATATGCAGACTACACAGGAATAAAATTTGTCTACTAAGGGGAAAAAGAGGCATTTAGCTACCTTCATTTCTCCTATTTATGAATTTCATCTATTTTTAAAGAGTACCTCTTACTCAAAAAGTCTCTAAATGTGTGTTCTAAAACATTAATATGGCAATGAACCTGACTCTAACGCATGGGAACAAAAATTCTTTCCTAGTGAAAGACCTAGTTACAGCCTCTAACTGAAGGAAAAGTGTAATGGAGGGGAGAAGTGGAACCCTCGGTATGCACTCACACCCAAAAATATCCTTGGAAAGGCAGCTTCAAATGGGATGCTACATAGTGTTGGGATTCCTCTGGGAACAGACCTTTGACACGGTCAGGTCATTTGCCTTACTGCTTTCCCTACTCAAGGGAAGTAAACTGGAAAACAAATGGCAGACTTGGGTTGGTTTTTGTTTTTATTTTAACCAGCCTGAGGAAAACTAGGATATTGGCAAGAGAAATAACTTAAAACAGAAATGACACACAATCCAATTGTAGTGATCATGAGTTGAGGCACTGGTTTCTGACTTGCAGAGTAAATTTCTAGAACTTTAAATTAAGTTCCAATAGAAACAACAACAACAACAACAACAAAACAAACAAACAAAAAAAAGCAAAGAAACCACTCTGGAATGTGGCCAACACCTCCAGAGATAATAGAGCCACTCCACAATAAGTATTTGTTGAATGGGAGGTAGCTAGGTGGCACAGCAGAGAGAGAGTTGGGCCTTGAGAAAGGAAGACTTGTGTTCAAATCCAGCCTCCGAAGTTGACCCTGGGCTAGTGATTAACCTCTGCAAAGCTCAGTTTCCCCATCTCTAAAATGAGGGAATTAGCTTTGATCGTCTCTTCCAGTCCGAAATCTCTCATCCTATGAACTAAAGGAATAGATGACATAGCTTCAAGAGAGTGAGCCCTAGTTCTTGGCCTCTTATCGGAAGAGCACAAACACTGCTAGGTTAGTCCTAGCCCAAGAACTGGGACCCCAAGCTCTTCCTCTATAACTAACGAGTAGAACCAAAGAAGTTTTGAAAACCACAAGGAAATGGTACGAAAACTCTACTGAACCCTGAAGTTTCTCAGCAGGACCCAGGACAAAAAGGCATTAGGCATGGTCCAAGCAGTATGGGACAGTGGAAAGAGTGTTGGAATGGGAATCAGGTTCTGGGTTTAAACTCTGCCAATTTACTACCTGTCTGACCTTCAACAAGTCACTTAACTGAGTTTTCTTTTCTGTAAAATGAGGGTGGGTCGGAATTCGACGGTCCCTAGGATCTCTTTTAATTCTAAATCTATTAACCTATTATCCCAAGTACAAGTAGGGCCAATGAGACCTAGGACCCATAGACCCAACATTCACTAACATAGATCACTGTGGTCCTCCAACAGAGAGAGCACCTTTGTCATAAGGGATCATAGGATTTAGAGCTAGAAGGGGTCTTAGAGGTCTTCTAGTACAAATGAGGAAACTGAGGCAGAAAAGTTAAGGAACTTGTCTAAGGTCACAAAGGTTAATTGTAGCAAAGCCTGGATCTTTGTGCAATTATGATTCCATACAGGTAACCCAAGTTCTGCATTACCCCATGGTCTCTCACGCAAGAGTTTCATTTATATCATCCATATACATATGAGAGCCAAAGTCCAGGATACTGAACAGAAGACATTATTATCCCCACCCAGTCACTGCTGGCTCCTAGGCACTCAGAGTGGGCAGGACCATCACCCTAAACCCTAGCAAAGGCATTTAGACATTGCATGGGTCAGATGGCATTGCATTGCATCTTGCCATCAATACAACTGTACTGATGGCACAAGTATAGTGTGTCAGATAGATAGTCCATTATTGCATACTAGGAATACTTGGATTGTGCAGGGTTGCTGCTTAGGACTTATGACAGCTTGAAGCTCTTCAAGGCTAGAGAGCCATCTTGGTTGCTAACTAGCCCTGGAGTTGCAGAAAGTCCTGAAGCTGAGAAAGCAGGAGATGAAGTAGGTCAATTCTGACATTTCCTGATAGGTCTGTAATAGGTTACTCTATGGAACTGGATGATCTAAAGGGATTTTTTTCACTAATTCACTTTCTTTTTGGGTACTTTCTTTGGGTGCTTGGAATTTTTGTATTTCCCCAACTTCAGAAATAATTCAGTGGGAACTTGGAAAGTTACAATCCCATTTCTTTCTCATTTTTGTCAGTGTGCTTTGTGTGATCATGCTGTTGGATTTATTAGAACTAATTCCCTCATGCAAAAGTAATTATTTGGTAGATTAACATATTTGTCTTTGAGTTAAAATTTCTCCAAAGCAATTCATTTATTTTTTAAGCCAGTATTCAATAAATACCCACTCTTATTTTCAAGGAGAAAACTATGTATGGGAATCATTGCACATAATCTGCCAGACTGCACTATTGCCAAGGTCAAAAGACCCAAGTTGTGTATAAGTGGGAAAATATGCTAACAAGGTGGTCTGAATTATACTATTTCTTATCCTAGCCACAGCTAATAGCCTGGTAGGTTGGTGCCATGGTCATCTTCCTGTCTCCATCTTCCATTGTACAGTCTTGGAATGCTATGCCTAGAAAGTCAACAAACTAAGTCTCCAACAAGAACGCATACCCCAAAAGAACCTTCTGTGGTTTCCTTACAGAAGAGCTTTTCAGCACCAGAATCAGAATCTAGAACAAATGGGGAAATGAAGGCTGACTATTGGGCTGTCTGCTCCATCTTGGCACCATTCTAAATTACAGCAGTTACTCAGAAGACTGAGACTGAGAGCTCCACTCTCTTACTTTAAGTTACTACTCACCCTAATATTTTTACCAATTGATATAATTAGATGTGCAGTATTCTGCCAGATGAGTACTGTATATTGCCATTTTGATTGCATATACTGTTAATGAATAGTTGTTTTATATTGCTTTCAATAATATCATATGTTGGTTACCTAAGATGATTAAAAAAAAAAACACCTTTGTGATTTTAAAGCACTGACGTTTGTACTGATGCTCAAGTTTACTCTTAGTTGATTTTTGCAGGGGACCACAAACATTTTTGACTCAGGGGAGAAATGTAGCCTGGGCTTCCAACCAAGCCTAGAGCATTTTGTAAGAGATCCTCCTAATTCATGGAGAGA